GCCTCTAATTTTTTCACAACAGAAGATCCAGCAGTTGCAAGAACAATCTTTCACAATTGGCTTGGAGATTGACCTCTCGAAGATAAGGTAGATGTGAAACGCGCAATGTCCAGATGTCTCTATCGACTGAAATGCGTCGAACTCTGTGAATTAACCCACCGTAGCTGATAGACAAACGAAAATCACAGACGAAGGAAAGCAGGATTGGCCAGATATGACCTCATTGAATTCAATCATCGCTACATGCAGGGAAGAAAGAACAGTCGATTCAAGCGTCCTATCGACATTGGTCTGTTACTAAAACTGAGAAGGGCAAATGCACTGAACTGAACTTGCAAATGGCTATCCATCAGCAAATTCCATTCAGAGCGGACAGATGCGGCAACGGGCTGAATGAATGCACTTCATTTCTGTCTTATGCCACCCCAAAGGATGATTGACATGCTACGTAGCTCGCATGACTGGCAACCGTTGCAAGTCACGACTTGGTTCTGTTGGGCCACCATCTCGACTCGGTCGTGAATAAGATCGTTGCACTGATCCAATAATAAAATTGCTTCATCAGGGATGGATGCAGAAAGCGGCGAATGGAGAACGCTACAGGATCGTCGATTTACGTTCGTCAGCACCCATGATGAGCACTAATCAGATAACTGATAGCAAATAGTCAATTTGCCGAAGTGCATAGAAATATCATTTCAAAAATTCTCTTGGAGGCAAAATATGGTAAATTATGATCCCAGTATTCTGGGTAGCTACTATGAATGGCGTCTTTCTAATTCGGCTGGTAAGTATTATTGATACCGGGCCATTTGCGGTGAAAGCGTACCGCCCCTTACTTCTCACCACCTAGAGGGACCATTTAAGCAGCCCATTGCTCCATAGTACTGCAACGTCAACGGTGCATCAAATGTTAGGCAGCATTTATGATCTGTAATTCATAATAGTTACCGCAGAATATCTAGGTTATATCTTATGATATTTTGTCGATATGTATTCCTAAGGATAGAGGCAAATTTTATTTGCGCTCGAACATGCCCTTGTTCAGCCCACTTCTGAGATTCGGCCTTGTATCTAATATACTGCAGGTGTTTAAATGCCATGAAATTATGGCCTGCTCAGATGGTTCCTCTAGATGACCATAAGCAAAGGTGCGGTGCGATTTAGGTGTGTATATCCATTATCAGTAACTGAAATGGGCACGCTACTCTGCATCATCTTCTTCAATATTCGTATTACCGATTCGGTGGTTACAA